GCTCCTCGCTCCTCGCTCCCTCGCTCCCTCGCTCCCTCGCTCCCTCGCTCCCTCGCTCCCCCTCCTCGCCTCCTCGCCTCCTCGCCGCCCCCCCCCCCCTCCCCCCCCTTACTTCTCCTGCTCCTGCTCCTGCTCCCCCTCCCGCTCCTCCTTCTCTGCTCTCGCTTCTTCTCCTCCGCTCACATCGCATCACTTCCCAAGGACATGTACAAGGGTGTCACTATCGAGAACCCAGTTCCGGTTGACAAGGTGGTGAACCTGGTGGGGAGATACTCCAGCTGGGGAGGAGGTGGGTATGACATGGCGCACAGGTAAAGGGCGCCGTGGAGATGGTTTCGCTCAACTGAGGGCAAACTTTTGACGTTTTTCTTTCTCCGTCTTCCTCCACATGTTATTTATTTCCCTTCCATGTTGTTTTACATTCTTATCCACACACGCACTGACCCCCTTCTCCTCCCTCCTCTCCTCCTCAATCACAACTTACTCCACTTCCTCTGCCGCTGCTCTCCCTCCTCCTCTCCTGCTCCTCCTCCCTCCCCCCTTCTCCTCCTTCCCATGACAGTGATCATAAAGCACGCATAATCCTCTCCACGAGTTCAAACCTCGTCTCCCTTGCTCCTCCCATTTCACCTCAGCTCAACTATCGTGTCGCTTCTGACAGCCCGCGAATGCGGCGAGTCAGCTGAATGTCTTTCACCATGAGCGTCACACGGCGTGCGTGAATAGCACAAAGGTTCCTGTCCATCCACGTCAGCCCAGCCAGCAAGCCAGCCTCCTCCTCCTCCTCTACTTCTCCTTCCGCTTTTCCTCTCCTTCTCCTCTCCTCTCTTGCTTGTCTCCTCCTCCTCCTTCACCTCCTCCTCCTCCTCTTACGCGTCCTCGAAGAGACGGACGAGGTAATCTTCTGCTGCCTCCTGCATAGCTAGCAGCGCGTCTGCCTGCCACCGCAACCCAGTGTTGTTGTAGTGCATTGTCAACTCCTTGACCAGCCTGGCGAACGGAAGCTTGCGGAGGAGAAGGTCGGTGGATTTCTGGTATCGGCGAATTTCCATTAGCGCTCGGGTCCCTGGACGGAACCTGTGCTTGCGCTGCTGTCCGGCGTTGTTGTTGTCTGCGAGGAAACGCCATTCAGTCTTCAGGAGGGGATGGTTGGTGGCGGAAGGGGGGGGGCAGGGGTGTTAGAGGGGAAGAGGATGAGACATGGAATAGAGAAGAGAGAGAATCAGGGTGAAAGAGAGGAGAGATGGAGGAGAGGAGAGGAGAGGAGAGGAGAAGAGAGGGCTGCTATGGCGCAAGAAAGAGAAGCTCCACGGAGCGAAGGAACACAAGTTACTAAAGCAGATGTGAGGCAGGCCGGAGGACGGGAGGGAGGGGGCGAGAAAGGAAAAGGGGGAATACTTCGAGCAGGCGACGGTTGTCCGTGTCTTGCCATGGTCGTTAAGAGCTCAAGTCAACGTTGGAGGTTGCAAACTCTTTGAGCCAATCAAACAAGAAGTTTCTGCACTCGAAAGGTAAGAGAAGAAATGATGACATCATGCGCCAATCTGGCCATTTCTACCACAATCAGCCACCTGAATCAGATCCAAATATCAACCCATCGGTTGTTTGACTCTTTCCCATTTTACAGTTTCATTTATGGCCCTCAAGATTCATCTCAGCGCAAGCACTCGCTATGGCGGAGGTCAATTATTTCCTCCATTGCGCCCTAATCAAGCCTGACGCTTGCAATAAATCTCAATCATCCCCTCCCTTCCCTCTCTTGCCGACTTCCTTTCCTGGCTCTCTCCTTCTCTCCTTCACAGTTGACCGTCTTCTCTTCCTTGTCCCTCTCTATCACCGCACATCCTCTCTTCTCCTCTTCCTCTCTCTCTCCTTCTCTCTCTCTCTCTCTTCCTCCTCCTCTCCTCCTCTCCTCCTCTCCCACATCCTCTCCGATCTGCATGCCGAGTGCCTCCAACAAAGTTCCGCTTCAAGATCCTGTCTCAGCAATTGTGAGGGCGGTACTTCAATTTATGTCATGAAGTTTTGAAATTATTTATGAATATTTCATTAATTATGTCCAAAATATAGAATGAAATGACTGGTTGTCGAAATATTCCCGTCTGCTCTCCACGACGTAACGGTCCAGCGGTTACACAAAAGCGTTACACACCGTTGCAGAACCGTTTCGTTTACAAAGATTGCTTTCTTTTTTGCTAGTTTGTTTCATGGCGCCCACACTGCAAGGCAGATGCTGGGCGAGGGGAGGGGGAGGGGGGGGAGGAGGAGAAGCGCAGTCAAGAATCTTATCCTCTCCCTCCGCAATCTCTCGCGCCATTACAAACTTTTCGTCACAACTGGCCGGCTACTGCACCATGATCATTTCCAGCTTGCCTCGATCGGCAACAGATGCTTCTGTGTACACAGGAGGCGCCGGCATAGCTTACGCGTTGATCAGAGTAGCAGCCTCGTCTGCGTGTATGGGAGGAGCGATCAGTATGGACGAGAAGAGCTTGTTAGGTCATGCACAGACTGCTATGAAAACCTGCGGGGGAGGCGACAAACGCGCAGCACCCTCGCTGCTATGTGGAGTTGCAGGCAACATGCTGGTGCATGCCTTGATAGAAGAGCGGGCCGGAAGAGCAAGGGAATCCGAACATCTGGCAGCAGAATACCTCAAGATTCTCGACGAAGCTCTTCGGAATGACAGCGACGAATGGTTGTACGGTAGAGCTGGATATCTTCAAGGGCTCTTGACGTTGAGAAAACTTTCTTCACGGCAACAGGTGAAAATGATGACTCATGTATGGTGGGTGATCTCAATGCTGATGACGTGCTCGACTTTATCGAAGAAGGATTTCGACGCAGCCATACGTCAAGTTAGTGCAAGGATGGTAGAGTCGGGAAGACAATATGCAAGCAGGCGCTGAAAGGTAGAAACCCAAGGCTCCTTCCTCACCATGGTAGCAGGTGCGGGACTAGATGCCCCTTGATGTATCAGTGGTATGGAGAAGAGTATCTGGGGGTGAACGAAACACGACATGCTCTTCTCGTGCTCTGAAGACTATCCAGGCAGCTCACGGTTTAATCGGAATCGTGCACCAGCTTTTGATGGCAAGAGAGGTTCTGAAGGTGCCTTCGATGTCTGCGGGAAGTGTCTTGGATGTTTGAGACAATCTGTAGGATCAGATGAATCTTGAAGGATGGGAGGAGGTCCTTGTCAAGAGCCTGGATTACATCATAGCATGTCGATTTGACTCAGGGAACTATCCAGCTGTGAGAGGAGATGGGGAAGATTATCTGGTTCGACATCAAAGACAACTTCGCTCCATCACCCACCCTGACGTCTTGTGGTGTTCAGCTTCATTTCTGCCATGGCGCCCCGGGAGCGGTTTTCATGTTTCTGGCTGCGTTCCGTGCGTTTCCCAGTCATGAGCGGTACGGGCGATTTGCTTTGGTGTATCGTGATGTTTGTCAGGTACTTGCACGCGGCTCGTCAGGCAGGCGACTGCGTATGGGAGTATGGGCTGCTCAAGAAGGTTCCTACAAGACAGATTGGCCGGGAGGTGCCTTGATTTCAGCTTGCCAGGGCCCCGGGCTATGTCATGGGGTAGCAGGAAATGGCTACTGCTTCCTCGCCTTGTACCGCGATGATCCTGATACTGAGAAGAAAGTGAGCCTGCCGTGGAGGGTAGCAGCGCTATGACTCGCCTGCTGCACAGGGAGAATGGCTGCACAGAGCCGTTGAGTTTGCAGAGTTCATGAGGGAGGAGGGGGAGAGGAACGAGCGGTGGCTGCTGAAACCCGACAACCCCTACAGCTTGTTTGAAGGATTAGGTGAGGAAACGTGGCTGTCAATGTGAGCTTACTCACTTGGCGAGCTGTGCAGGCGGAGCAGTGTGCTTCCTCGCCGACCTGGTTGGAGTCCTCCAGTCGCAGATAGAAACTTCGTCGGATCTCGACCACCATGTTCCATCGTTCCCTTTGTTCGAGACACCTCTTTCCTGACCTTGAATATCACCATCATCATCGTTGTAAGCAATCTTGCGTTTGCTTCTCATTCATCAAATTATGCATGTTTGCTATGGTCTCCTCTGGGTTACTATCGTGTTCGAACTAAGAAGCGCCAGTTCTTTCGATGTATCAAAAATCCGCAAACAGCTACAGGATTTTCTGCGCTACAAATTGCATACAACAAGAGGCGAATGTCTCACAGGGTCTCAAGAGAGGTAGGGGCCATTGCCGGTCATAAGGCGGATACACTTGATCCTGTTGCTGATGTAGTTGAACTGATCAATGCAGTAGTCGATGTTGTCCTTGTTGTGAGCGATGTTCTGCGCAGTCCTGAAAGACATGAGCTCGCCGCTCATAGCCTGAGAGATGAAAAGTCAGATGCAGATATCACAGAGAGAATGAGGGTAGATATCCGAACAAGCAAATGATATAGCATGATCCATACTCCACAAGCATTCACATCTGAGGATAAAGCTACGTCTAGAGATTCATCTTTGGGCTAATATGAATTAGCAGAATGATCGAGAGAAGCCTGGAGTCTTGCGTACATTCCATGATGCCTGGAACCTCTCCTACTCGATCTCCCCCCACACTGCACATCTGTGTATATGAGCTCTCTTCCGCTCATCTACCATCACCACGAGATTTATGCAACGATGAGTTTGTTCAACAGTCATCAACGATCTCAACTTCAAGACACATGCTTGTTCATAATTTCAGATCCCAGCCCTTGAACTGCACTTCGGCGGCTTCTGCAACTGCACTGGGCCATAGAAGCACAACGGCCTCCTTGAGTCCACTCCCCCATAACATCCAGTGGATGAGCTCATCAACATCTACCTGCTCCTCTCCCACAACCATGACTTTCTCACACATTCACATCCTCATCCACACTCAGAGTCTCTACACACCCCTACTCAGTCCTGCAATGCCACGGTGCCCACAAGACACTGCGACACTAACAAACCTACGATCCTACAGGAGCTGGCGCTCCAGCATGGAACATACCTCAGCGGCAACCTTCTTGGTCGCTTCATCCACCTCGTGGGCGCCGGCGGCACCATCGTCCTCGCCGGTCAGCAGCTGCATCCTTCCCATCATCTCCGGGTACCACACCATCGCGCCTCTTCGTTGCCGCGCCTCTTCGACCCCTGGCCCTAATAACCCGCCGTACGGTGCCCGGCCTCCCCGGGCCAGGCCCTGGCCGCCGGGCCGCGTGACCCGGTACGGTCCGAGCCCGACGCCCGCCGTTCCGATGAGCCGCCGCCGTCACCCTATTGACTTGCAAGTTGGACTGAGACAGGCGGCCGAATCTTCAAGGCGCGCCGAGTCGGCCGCCGCGCCCGGCCGTGATGGCGCCGTCATCACCGTGTGACTCAGTGAGTCGTTCGGACCCGGGCCCGCGGCCGGGCCGGGCCGCCGGGCGTTCAATGGTTCACGTCGGTCACGTTGACTCTGTGCCCTGGCGCGGCCAGTGACGCAACCGTGACGCGGCTGGTGTCCGCCGTGCCAGACAGTCCGTGGCATGATTGTGACTCGGCGTGACTAATAATAGCCGGGAACCGGGCCGTCGGCGCACGGCCGGCCGGGCCGGGCCGGCCCGGCGGACCCTCCGGATACTGAGTTCCCGGATACTCACGGATCGTCGCGGATACTTCCTCTCTTACTGGATTGTTTTTGTTACGGGATTGGTCCACCGCCTGCAGACGCCATGCTCCGCACGCTCCTCCTAGTCGCCTCCGCCGCCTCCGCCGCGGCGTTCGCTCCTTCCTTCGGAACCTCAGCTGTCTCTTCCCGATCCAATGCCATCACTGGTAAGCTCCTTGCGCTCAACAGGCCCAGAACCCGTCTCGGGGGTAGAGGATGTTAAGTTGATGGGGTGCAGTTGGAAGGGAAATGGAGTCAAGTGTGCGATGCAGGAGGGAGACGATGATCTGATGTGTTGTTGTGACATTCGATCATCAAAAAACTCATGTTTTCATGTTGAATCACCATGTCGTGTTCCATCTTGTTGTATTTGGCTTGATTTTTCTTCATGCATTTGCAAGTTGCGCTTTAGGTGTTGTCTTGTACATAGGTTGGGTTTGACATTCATTCCATGCACTATTTACATCCTACATCTCCCACTCATGTCTTCTCAATCCTTGCTTGCATTTATTCAGCAAAACACTCTCTGCACCCATCGATGGAGTCTGAGCTGACAGCTGTAAAATGGAGAGACAGCTTATATGTTTGGGAGGAATGCCGTGATATGGAGGATGAGCAGGCAGAAGGGAAAATTGATAACAGACAATGGCAGTGACGATTACTTCCAGGCATGAAGATGCAGTCTGTCCTCTCCAACAGGGCCGGCAAGTCCAAGGCCATGCCCTTCTTGTCCCAGCCCGAGAAGCTCGACGGCTCCATGCCCGGCGACGTTGGCTTCGACCCGCTCGGAATCTCCACCTACTTTGACCTCAAGTGGATGCGCGAGGCTGAGCTCAAGCACGGACGCATCTGCATGCTTGCCTGGACTGGATGCCTCGTCCAGGTGCAGCAGGAAGTGGAGGCCGTCAGTTCGTTCTAACATGCAGTCACTGTAGGAGGTGATCCACCTTCCCGGAGAGGCCTTCTCCAAGAAGCTCGCTCTTGATGCCTGGGCCTCCGCTCCCCGTGGAGGAATGATCTCCATCCTCGTCGCTATTGGCTTGATCGAGATGATCTCCAACAGGTGCTGCCGCTGCCTTGCATGTTCTTATTGTTGCATGCCCTTTGGATGTTCACGATTGTTTATCTCTCACGTTGACATTCTGATACTCTTCCCTTTATTGCATGCTTTATCTACGTGCGATATCCATTCACCTCCTGACTTCGTTTTTTCAGGTTCCAGCTTACCGCCACTGACATGTTCGCCAACCCTGCCCGTGTTCCTGGCGATCTTGGCTTCGATCCCCTCAGCCTTGGAAAGTAAGGATACTCTCTCTTCCTCCTCGTGATCTGTATCCTACCATCATACTTTCCCCTCACCCTTCCGCTCCCGAACTACCCCCACCTTCACCTGCTCTGTCAAATCTGTTCTCACGATTTATCCCTGCAGCAACCCTGCCACCCGTGCTAAGTACGAGCTCTCCGAGGTCATCCACGGCCGTGCTGCCATGATGGGCTTCTCTGGCGTTATCCACCAGATGATCGTCACCAAGCAGCCCATCATCTACTCCCTCCTTCACTGGAAGTCTGTCGACTCCTCTGCCTTCAAGCTCGGAGGAGCCGCTGCCAAGCTCGGATACTAAATTATTCATCTTTGTTGCGAGGAGAAGCAACTGTAGGACAATAAAAAGTTGATCAGTCAGAAACTGTAGGGATCAGGAATCCTTCGGACAAACGGCCTTGAAAGAGACCATCAGTGATGACACAGTGAGGACCTCCGATGGTCGTCACTCAGTACACTCCCGGATCATAGCCCATGATGCTGTCGGGCGGCACTCACCTCAGATGCCACCGGACCGGCGTACAGTAGTGCACTTCATGACCCTCAGCCCTGGCATCGGGGCTGTCAGCGCCACTCCGAGGCTCGAGTCGCCAGTTTCACTGGGCCGGGCCGGCGGGCCCGGTTAGCGCCGGGCCCGGGGCGGCGGCACTGAGGGCCCCGGGCCGTTCCAGCTGACCCCTCCTCGAGGTGGATCAAAAAGACTAAACAGGGTGGGTAGGGGTACGCAGTCTGAAAGGACAGACATGCTCCAGGTGCGCGACTGACAGCATTGCAGGAAGGAGAAAGAGCAGAGCGGAAGCAGGGCAGAGAAAAGAGGAATGCATGCGGATATGGGCAGGAGGAAGGATAAGAGGAGCAGGAGCAGGAGCCGGAGGAAGGATAAGAAGAGCAGGAGCAGGAGCAGGAGCAGGAGCAGGAGCAGGAGCAGGAGCAGGAGCAAGAGCACGAGAAGGAGCAGGAGCAGGAGCAGACGACGGATCAGAATGGATGTTTTATTGATCTGCTCACTCTACTTCATCTGACAGATCCTTGGCAACGTCATCTCGAAGAAGAATCTCCGAGCATGCATCAGCTCATCAGGGCAGAGAGGGTGCAGGCCCACGAAGCGAGGATACGTCACGGTGAATCAGGGGCCAACCAAGCTCGCATGCATCCATGCTCCCAATGGCTCGGGAATATGCTGGCCAGGGGGCAAGTCGGGATACAACAAATCGATGCAGGTGAGAGAATGGGTTTGTTTTGAAGTTTCTGCTTCTTTTCTGTAGTCTTGATCGATGGTAACTCTTAATGTTGCAGCCGTAGTAGTTGAACGGGCCATAGGGCAATCTTTCTATTTATTCTTTCTAGGAGCAGTAAGTTTTGGTTGGGTACTGCCAAGTGAGCAGGCAAAAAGTTTTCGAGTGCTCCTTCAGCCATTCGGTTTTGTACAGCAAGAGCTCAAACATCAAAAAGAGAAGAAAATCTCAAAGAAACACACTTGCAAAAAGATAGCAAACCCTTCGCATACATGAAGCAACAAATCTCACCTGGATAGAGGAACTTGCAGAGAAACCTGACGGGTGTGTTTTGTGTGCGGCAGACCCCTCATACTTTCGCCAACATCTCATCATGTCAAAGAGTGCAACAAGTGACTGTCGTCACGCACATCTTCGTAAGGAAAGTTTCTTTGATCATCGGGGGAGCTCACACGACACCAGCAAGCATGTCCTTCCTGCCCCACTGCCCTCGACACCCATCTGAACGCATCGGATTAACCCTTCACAAGATACTCAGCATCGTGATCGCGCTGTTGGAGCAGCGCAAGTCACTGTGGCTCGGCCTTTCGTCCTCATAGCGTCCATGCCGGGCTGTGAGGAGCGAGGACGGGACGACATACATGCTTTGGAGACGCGGAGCTCACGCACACAACCATGCAGGAGCGCCAGAGGTCATCGTCTGCAGAACAGAATCATGGACGTTAGGCACGGGGATAAGTATGCAACAACACACCATTCTGATTGAAAACTACATCTTGATGAATCATCGCAGGGATCTTCAAACCAACAACCTTTCAATTTCTACCCTTCCAGACCCGAGAGTTGTGTTTGACATACCGCAGAGACATGTGCCCCTTCTAAGATCCATGCTCAACACTTTCGAGTTTCGTCTTGAAATGACCTAACACACAGAAAGATGGTTCAAAGACGAGGCAGATCTGAGGGGAAACTCGAAAGGGGTTCTCAATGAAACTGTCTCGCTAGACTCATTCTATCTTCGTCAGCCATGGTAAGGAAAGGCATCATCTGAGTTCGCCTGCGCTTCATGCATGCGCTCCCCCTCATCCTGCTAATTCGCCATTCCTGTCCCCCTCGTTCCCTCCTGTCTCCCTTCCCTTGTCCCACTTTGCTGTCTTACCTGGGCTCGACCGCCATGGCTGCGAGTGCGCAGTTTTCAGAAGTTGGATCTCTTAGTTTTCAAATCTTCTGCGACAATTTCAACAAGTTCATCATCCTTTAAGACACCCACCCCCAACCCTACCCCCTGGTATATCTCTAAAACAGACATTGTGAATACCCCTTGTTTTTGCTGTACAACACCGGGTCAATGATGTACCCTACCCCTTTTCTACGAACACCTACCCCCCTCCACGTGTCGACATGGTGCGGGGAGCGGCGAAAGCGCAAGCGCAAGAGCGAGCCCAGAAGAAGGTGAAGAGGAGAGGAGAGGAGAGGAGAGGAGAGGAGAGGGGGGAGGAAGGGGCAGCATTCGGATGAAACTGCAGGTAAACGAAGGAGGAATAAACGTCGGAGATTTGAGGGAGATGGATAGATAATTGAGGATAGAGGATATCGTTGAGAAGAGAAAATCAAGTTGAGGGAAGGAGAGTTGTAAGGTATCATGTCGTCTGCAACGCACTACACCGAAACATTGAGTTGGAGGGGTGAGGAAGAAGGGGCGAAAGAAGCTGCTCGATACATAAAAGTAGAGAATAGAGGAGGGATAACACGCAGCACGCGATGAATGAGATGTGTGACGGGAGGGAAAGATGGATCAGAAGTCAGAATGCTGATGTATCGAGTTGCCGGCATGACGTAGGAGGTTGAGACATTGAGTGGGAAGTAATGAAGGCAGAGAGTAGGGGACAAGGTTCCTATTGCTGCTCCTGAAGCTCACTTGTTACTGCTCAGGCTGCCAAGATGTCTAAGAGCGGGTCCCAACTCGAAGATCAGAAGAAGGGATTGAAGCTGATGTGCCCGGCTTGCAAGGTAGGGCGTTGGGGAGGAAGGAGCTTTCGAGGAGATGACACGTCGGGTCTGCAGACCTTGATGCCTTCCTACAAGATCTTTCAGGCTCATCATGAGTCAAAACATCCAGGGCCCTGTCCAACAGAGGAAGCGATACAGGTCGATACCTATCCATGTTGCCTATCAAGTGCGCTGCGGGGTCCTCCCCGTCTTGTCCCTTTGTGACCTCCTCCTTGTCCTCTTCCATGCTTCTGCTCTTCGTCAACAGCTTCTTCTTACTTCAGCTCCTCTTGATCCTTCGCACCAAGTTGAACTTGCTCAGGTTTCCGGATGATTGCTACTAGACTTCATTTTTCCACGACATAGTTCGCAAAGTTTTTCGAGAGGACAAGGCCAAATCTCTCCGAATGTATAGAAGAGATAATTATCAATGCTACCCTGCTCCCCCCCGGCATACACCTTGTGAAGGAGTAGAAGGAGCATGACGGCGGGGAGGGGGAGAACCCTCTACCCGCAATTACCACTCCTTGGGCTTGCTTGATGTTGGTGTCGTTGGAGTATCCCAGAAGCAAACACCCCCGATACCTGTTGTGCGAGTGAGCGAGGAAGGAGGGAGGGGAATGGGGGAAGAAGAGAAGGAGGAGAAGGAGGGACAACAGAGAAAGGGAGTAGGACACAGGAGATAGGGTAGGATAGTAGGAGGATGAGTGGGAATGGGTCGCACCACAGTGGTCGCGCAGGCACATGCCAAAGACGGCAACGCTCTCGGACAAGTCGAAGTTGTCCTGTAGGAAGGAGGATCAGCTCTTTGCGGACGGTCGCCACTGGCAGGGTCGGGGCAGGCCCACCATGTCGAGGGGAACGAGGCACTCCCCGTTGGCCGTCTCTACCGCGTCGTTGTCGCAAGTCTCACTCCACAGCCCTGTGAACGAGGTCAGACCTGATTCCACGTCATCGCTGCGTCAAGGACCGGGCAGAGCCTTAATGTAGTTGGTCAGCTCCTCCTGGCTCACGGCAGGCCTGCGAAGCAGACAAAATCTCAGAGATGTAAGGAGGAAAACTTTGAAACAAAACATCGGTCTCTGTCTCTGCCTCTGCCTCTGCCTGTATGACCTGTCGTTTCTTTCATCCACCTTCCCCTCCCTAATTATCTTTCTGTTCCATCTCTCTGTATCAATGATGCCGACTTTCGTCTTAAAGCTTCTCCACACTAAGTTGTCAAGCAACAGCATTCCATGGCTTGAAGTGCATTCAACCTGCCATCCTTGGACACATCGACCGTGTCCACGATGCCGCTCGCCTTCTCAATCACACGCCGCTGTGGGGCAACAGGGTGAAAAGCTTCCCGAGATAATTGCGAGACGACAGCAAGACAGGACAAGTACGAGGAATGTGGAAACGAGGGCAGGTAGGGGAAGAGGTGGGGGGAAGGTGGGGACATGGTAAAGAGTGGAGGAGGGGAAAGTGAGCGGAGGAGATGGAGCAGGTGAAGAAGCAGGTGAAGAAGCAGGTGAAGAAGCAGGTGAAGGAGCAGGTTCAAGATTACCATGACGTCCTTGGGAATCGCTCGAGTGTTTCCAGGAACATCCTCCAGAGCTTTCTCGAAAGACATTCGGAGAGATGCAATCTGAGTGGTGGTGGTGGAGGAGGAGGAGGAGGAGATGGAGGAGGAGGAGGAGATGGAGGAGTATCAAAGTCAGTTCCCTCGTGTGCAGGGCTGGACGAAGGGACCTGCTCGTCGGTGAGCTCGAAACGAGTCTTCCATAATGAGATGCGCCTTTCCTCTTCCTCCAGACCTCTCTCTCCTCCTGCACAGCCTTCAGCTTCCTGAACAGGAAACTCCTCCTCCCCTCTTCCTCATCCTCTTTCATATGATCACATCAATCCTCATCCTTGCTTTCCATATTCCCAATGCTTACCGTCGTATTCATCATCGCTCACGTCATTCAATTTGTCATCAAAAGTTGAACTTGTGTACACATGTGTCCATCACAATCACAATCACAATCACAATCACAATCACAATCACAATCACAATCACAATCACAATCACAATCTTGACCATCTTTTTTCATAATCATCACCATCTCCATCTCCATACTCTCCTCACCATCTCCATAACCATCTCCTCACAATCTCCATAACCACTCTATCACCTTCACAATCACCATGATCATCTCCATCATTAATATCATCACCACGATCATTCGCAGCACCAGCTCTTACCGGCCTCGAGCGGAGATTCCTTGACAGCTCTCAAGGGGATCAAGTCGACCTTGTTTCCTCTCACCGGCAAAAGGAATCTGGGGACAGACGAGACCCGGGCAGGATTGCGGCCAACAGCGCGGAGACCAGCAGGGCTGGGAGCAACAGAGAAAGCAGAAACTGCCTGTATGCTTGGGAGAAGATTAGTTGGAAGATCGCAAGAGGCATGTGGCGGTGCGAGGGCAGAATGGCGCGGGAAAAACCCATCACAGAATGAGGGGCGTATCTCAGGGAGAGGAAGGGTAAGGAGGGGAGAGCTCCCTATGCGAGCAGGGGCTTTGCGATGGAGCCAATACGTAGCAATGGATGAGAGTCGTTTCCATAAGACATCTTTCTTCTTGTATCTCAACTCGCTCCTGACTATCTACGTTCTTAACTTCCGTATGCCCGCCCACCCCCTCCTCCCCTTCCCACATTCATATGCCCATCTCTTCCCTTGAAGACCCACCTCCATATCTCCTTCCTCTGAACACTCTATCGTTACTCCCCTCTCTCCCTATCCTCCTCCTCCTCCTCCTCCTCCTCCTCCTCCTCCTCCTCTCACCACAAAGCGCCCAAGGCTGCCGCCCGAAACGACGCCATAATCCTTGATCAACAAGCGATTGTAATCCTAAAACACATGTATAAACTCTGGTAGACCTGCTGGAGAATAAAACATATATAAATATTGAGTAAAGTTTAATAATTGCCTGGATAAAAGCCCAGGAAATCGGAGGACGTTTAAAAGTGTTTTAGGGGTTGTAAAACGAAAACATGAGGAGGGAAAGCAACATGGGAGGGGGAGGAGGGGACGGGAGGGGACGGGAGGGGACGGGACGGGACAGGACGGGACAGGACGGGACGGGAGGCAAGGCGGATCAGGTGGAAGTGAGCAATATGCGATTGCATCAGGGAGAACGGGAGGAATGGAAGCGAATCCAATGAGCAGATTCGGATGAGTGCATGTTTGTGCCAGAAGGCCTGCAAAGGGGCACTGAAAAAGTCTCCTCCCCTCTCCCCCTCCTCCATCTACGAGTGAGGCTAGAGATGAGGGTCGTCAGTACACTAGCATAAGGTGTCTTCGCTGTACAATTCCCTGATACGAAACTCTAAGGATACGAAAAGAAAGATGCTGGGAAATGATGTAGGTACAAGATTCTTCACCGATTTGCAATAAACATATGTCCAAACAAACCAAGGAATCAAGAGCTGTGTGTAACTGAAGCGAACGTTTTCTTCTTTGTTGTTGTCCGTAGTGGCGACGATAGCAACATCATCGTTGACGATGACGATGACGATGGCGATGGCGATGACGATGACGATGACCACGATTACAAGGACGACACCGACGACAACGGTGGTGGTCATAGTGGTGGAGGAGGAAGAGGTGGAGGTGGAGGAGGAAGAGGTGGTGGTGTCAATGATTCCACCCACGGCCTTAGCGGAGCCCATGGGGCGAAGCCTTATACGATTCACCTGCCTTGTTGTCTCGAGCTCCCACGCCCTCAAGCCTTCCCAAGGTTGACAACACAGGTGCTATACCTGACCACTACCTGCCTGTTATTCCCTGCCCGCTCCACGCCACTGACGTTGCGCTGTAAAGGCGGATAGAGGTCAAGCTCAGGGGCTCCAACCAAGAATCTCACGCTGAGCACCAGGTAGTCATGGCAAACTTGTTCATGACGAATAGTATGACAGAGGGATGCCGTTGAGCTCTGTTGGGGACAAGGGGCAGGTAAGTGACACTCTCGATCCTGGTGGGGAACACTTGGAGAAAGATCTAGTTAATTCATTCAATTTGTAGTTCTGTTAAAAGTCTTTCCTCCAATGACTCATCTATTCTTGTAATTGTCGCAACCACGTTGCTTCTTACAGTCTGTTGCCCATGAAGGCGGAGGAGTTGAAGTTCACATTTGCTTGCTGCTGCTGCTGCTGCTGCTGCTGCTGCTGCTGCTGCTGCTGCTGCTGCTGGCCGCCGCTAGTGCTTGAGTTGCTGCTGGTTGGCGTCAAGGAGAGGCTTCCAGCATTCAGCTGTCCAAGAGGATTCAGCCCTGTCTGCTGCTGAAAGATCGATGAGCCCAGGTTCTGTGACACGATAGAGGAGAAGAGCGTCTGATATTGCTGTGCATACGCCTCCTGCTGCGCCTCCAGCTGTTGCATGTACATCCGAGCAAAGTCGCTCATGCCGGCATTGACCTGGACGTTGCCTTGAGCAGACGCAAAGTTCATCCCTGTCGACGACAACAGCGTGCCTTGCCCGAACAGCAGCGAAGGTCCCGACGGCGTACCGACGCTGCTCCCCCTACGACGATCGGGTGTGCGCGATGGGCCGCTGGGTGTACCACACTGGAGAAAGACCCGAAGGCCGAGGACCCACCGACTGTTCCAGCAGCAGCTCCAGACTGATGCGCTGGTTCGGACCTTGCAGCCGGAGGGGCATTGGGGGCGTGAGCATCGCCCTCCTTGGCTGACGTGGCAGCGCTTGTCTGAGACGCCCCAAGACCTTGTCGGTGCTTCAATTCCTCTGGGGTCCAGAGGTGCCTCGTCGCCTGCGACCAGCTCCGCCCACTCCACACGTCCCTGATCGTCTTCGGAGTCACTCCGTACTTGGGAGCGACGGTCTTGCAGTGCAGCATGGAGCCTCTCCTCCGGTAGCCGTCGGCGTGAAACTTTGGTCTGAGCATGTAGATTTCGCACGCTTCCTCCGCTGACAGCTGCTGCTTCTTCGTTCCCAGTTGCTTCGCTCCTCGATCGCCTTCACTAGCAATGCCCTCCTTGTCGTCGGACTCTGATTCTGAAGAAGCTGGATTCACAACCTCGTCGGGTTTCGTTGCTCCAGCTTGAGTTGTCGCTTCTTTTCCTTCAGTCTTGGACGCTATTGACTCCGTCTTGCTTGCAGATTTGTCTGGTGCGAACATCATGGAATTCGAGACGATGGCCTGGCAAAGAACGCAATCATTAGGCATTATCGATATGCGTGCAGCAAAGAATTTGCAGCAGAAAATAAGAGCCAACATGACAGCCACTCATCGTCAATTAACTGGCATAACAAGTTGTGAAAATGCAGAGTGCGGTACTGATGCTGAAGCAGAATATGCGAATGACTGTGAGGAACAAACGTGATGTATTCTGATGTATGTGGTTGCTATACTCTCTCTAAAAGCTCGAAAAAGCTGCAGCAAATGCTACTCCTACCTCCGCGAACAAGCGAAGGTTTTGCAATGTCCCTTCAATCCAACCTAACTTTTTCCTCTCCTTGAAACATTCTGCTATATACGTGCATCTTTCCTCGCGCCTCTCTCACACACATCGATCTCCGCTTCCCCCTTCCATCTCCCCCTTCCTGCCTCATTCCCCCACGCCCATGCTTCCGCGCTCCCTCGCTGGCGACAGGACACTCGTGACCTGCTGACAATTTATATACCCTGAGCTCCCCTGACACTACCCCTACCCCCTGGATCCCGATGAGAAGTCATCTGGTGGGACCCCACCCCTCCCTTGCTCCTATTTGAGATCAAATAGCACTTCCCTCCCCTTCCCTCCCCTGGTTCTACCACCCCCTGTTCCCAATCCCCAACAGGTCCCACCCTCCGCTCGTTGTAAACTGTGTAAAGCGTCAGCCATCGGAAAGCAAACGTCCACCCCACCCACCCCCCTCATTTTGTAATGACCCCTGGTAGTAAAGGCCCGTAACAGGAAAAAAGAACCAGAATCTTTTCGGGGTTCATGTCTCGTCAAGGGGGGGGGGGTAGGGTGTATCGAGGATACATGAAGATTGGTTTTCCCAAACAACTGAAGAGGATTCAGTAGGTAGGGTACCTCACCCTACCCATCGGGTGCCTTGCGCATTAGAGATGCAAGCTCGTAGCCCTTGCGAGACCTTGAGGTTACACCTTATTTCCTCATTTCCAGGTCCCATTTGTAAAATACACTTTTAATATCTCCACCCCTGGTGGGTCCATACCCACCCCTCTGAACCTAAGGGTACAAAGGAACCCCACCCCTTGAAGAATAAGGAACGGTCTTAAAAAAGATGGATTCCGGCCAGACGCTATCTCCGAGTACCCCACCTGTTCCTGAAGTACCCCCCACCTCCTCAATAGCTTGGATATGACGGTCAAGGACGTTTGGCCTCCTTTGCCTCCTTCCCAACTGTCACAAGGATGCTGACGTCCCAAAGACCGAAATAATGTCTTTTGAAAGATAGCTTTTGTAAACAGAAGCTTTGTGAAGTTCTTCGCTGACAGGAGCTGACGTTGATGACGTCTTTATCTGCAGATTGACTTCTTTGATGACTTCCAGAATCCCGCACTTTGGTTCACTAGGGGTCCATCACGGGGCCTCTTGCACCAAAGACCAGTAAAATGGAAGGTTGCTGACAGATCTCCATGTAGTAAAGATATTTCCTCGTGATCTTACGGCTCTGGAGGCTGCATAAAACATTTTTTAAAAAAAAAAATGTGGAAAAAAAAAAAGGGAAAGCCATAGAAGGGTAAGAGGTCAGTAGGGAGAGTTCCAGGGGAATCAGCCAAGAGGGTTGGGGGGCGTGGAGCGGCGCTAGGGCAACTGCGAAGGAGAGGAGGGGAGGGAGGGAACAATGAAGGTCCCATAAGGAGTCCGGAGCCAGCATCAGAGGAAGAGGAAGGGAAGGAGCTGCGATTAGAGAGAGAGAAGTCGAGCGATGGGCAAGCGGGGCAACCATGCTAGGGCCGCTTGTGAAGAGAGGAAGGACCAGGTAGGGAGAAGAAGGAAGTTTGGATAAGGTTGGACATTAGAACATGATGCCGTGAGATGGAGCAAGGAGCACAGAGTAAAAGCATAGGAGGGGGGCAGGGTCAGGTATCGACCCACAAGGGGGCACGAGGACAAGGACCGGGACTAAACGGGCCACGAGATCACTTCAGTCTGTAGAGTCGACTTCTTACACACCAGGTGGTAGTTCAGCTCTTGTTTACTGTCGCGATAAGTTTCCTCACGGTCCAGACATGCTTCTGTTAGATGCTTGTGTTGGTTTATGGATGAATTTCATGGACAGGACATATCATGGACTCTTCTGGACGCACGCGTCGGCAGCAACCCCGTCGGCCAAGAGCAGCTCATCTCTCCATAGCCCTGCAGAGTTGCCAGCTGCCAGCAAAACCTTCTCCTCGAGCCGCTTGTAGATGAAACCTTCCGACTTGTCGGGCTGGGCGATGGGCAGAAGTCAGCAAGAATGAGGGCGATGGAAAGGCTGCGCGACTTGTGCAGACTTGTCGAGGCGCAGGTCAGCAAGGGACATGAATGTATGCTGGTAGGATACCTGCCATGGAGCCCACTAGCCTATGAGCATGGATAGGGAGGACCACTGCGCCGCTGCCCAGTCCCACCTCCCTTTCTTTCTCCGCATCCTCACCCCCCCCCGCCCCCCTCGCAGCTCCTCTTGCTTCCCTTGGCAGGAAGGACTTCACCAGGGCGGAACGCTGAGAGCCTCTGGAGCAGTTCGGGGGGCCGAGCTGAGGGTAGGAAGGCAGTCAGGGAAGAGTGCAGGCAGCTGGGCAAGAGCTCGAGAGCTGGAGGAGCGACGAATGCGAAGTCATCAAGACACCAAGAGATCCAAGGACGAATAAAGACAAGCTGTAAGATGACTCCACCATGTAAGATAACTCCTTGCGCGCACACGCACACACGCGCACAAACAAAAGAGTTATGAAGTTCTTATGATCGGCACATCGAGGGGTTTGGGTATGACGTTTCTAACCCTCCATTCACGATCATGATTGATGTATTGAACTTACTCTCAAACCCTGCCTTTAACCCTTGAAACAATGTTGCATTTGATAACGCTTGAAGCACCAGCAGTGTAAAGGAATTGCGACATTTTGGATGCCACTACTGCATGGTCCCATCTAAACGGCTTGGTTGGCGGACTAAATTTCCTCTTCCTTGACTCTCTGGGAACTGGACAGGGTCAGCGTATGAAGTAAGTTACGAACGTGGCGAGTGATTCGGGTCACATCACATCTTCATAACCAACCAACAACAAACACAACTACAGCAACAACACCATTCTGAGCGCTAGAATCAAGACTTTACAGCATCATGGTTGTGCTTGACTTTGCCTTCACCCTGTTCCTTCCGCTCATCTTCGGAGAGGAGCTGTCAGGAACAGACTGGCGAGTCACAACCCTGCTCTGCTTGCCCTCCATCCGCGCATGAGGGATCGCACCCGCCCTGTCAGTGCTCTTCTGAGGAGCATGGGAAATGATGTCACTGACGACATCGGCGTGCTTGCTGGGAACCGCGTCCTCCTGGTTAGCAAGAGGAAGAGCGGAAGGAGCAGGAGGAGGAGGAAGGTGGAAGAACGGCTGAACATGAACGCCCTGAAGTGAGGGTGGCTGCGACATCAGCATGCTGTGGAGCTGCGAAAGGCAATCCCTGCAAGAAGGAGAAGGGGCGTAAGCGGACGAGGAATAATAAGCATAAGAGATGAAGAAAATGGAGACAGTCGGGACGAGGAGAGGAGTAAAGGAGAAAAAGGAGGGAGGAGGGAGGAGGAGGAAGAGGAGGGAGGAGGGAGGAGGGAGGAGCAGGAGGGAAGAGGGAGGAGGAGGAGGAGGAGGAGGAGGAGGAGGAGGAGGAGGGAGGGGGGGAGGGCAAGGGCAAGGGCAAGGGCAAGGGCAAGGAGGAGTAGATCAATATCTTGATAGCGAGATGACCAGCAAGGCTTACTTGAGCTCCGAGTCGTTGTCATGGTCCTCACTTATCCTCTTAGCGACGTTGCATGCCATCTGCGGGTCAGTCAAGACGCTCCTTCTTCATCGACCGCGGGAGGAACCTGAACTTTGGCGAAGAGATCGACGTAGAAGTCGACCTGGTCCTCAGCGCTCTCGAGCCGCCGTCGCAACGATGCCAACTGCTGGTGCTTCTTCTGGAGGGCCGCGATCTTGTCCAGCTCCGACACTGCATCACTTTCACGGAGATCGGAGGAGGCCTATCATCAACAGGAGTCAAGCTCAGATATTAGCTCGGCATCAGCTCGGTAGAACCTGTCTTGAACCAGAGGAAGCGGAGGATAGCGGGGGGCTGAACCGACCATTAGGGCTGACCCTTGCACCCTGCTTGACGCTCATGGCATTCTGGTGATGTTCTTGTTGCGGCTGCCCTTTAGGGGCTGACGGGTTTGGAAGTGATTGGCCTCCACTCCACTTAGCACCTTGTTCGTGAACGAACTGACTCATGAATCGGTTCCCGGCATCCACCCCCCTGAAGCACCATCGAGCGTCAAACAACCTAATGATTGTGGGGCCGGGGAACTGGCAGCTTTGTTTGTCCTTTCTATCCTAGCTATCATGGATGTCTCTCCTCTCAAACAGAGCCTTGTTGCCATCAACACCATCAATTCATTCCTAACTGAGCCGCAACTGCAGCAGAGGGTCGTGTGCGCTTGTTGACCCAGGAGTTTCTCTACATTCACCCCTCCTTCATACCGTCTGAACAACCCTGTAAGTAGATGACACATGGAGTAGGGTCTGAAAGACACGGTGTGGTGGAGAGCGGGAGCCTCTAGGCTTGGGAAGAACACTCGGGCAACATGAGCAGGGTGGTGCAATAACAAGTGTGGCAAGAAGAGGCAGCACTCCTGCTTCTCCTCCTTCTCCTCTCTGCCCCTCCTCCTGCTCCTTCTTCTTCTCTTCCTTCTCCTTCTCCTGCTCCTGCTTCTCCGCCTCTTCCTCCTCCTGCTTCTCCTCCTTCTCTGTATCCTCCTCCTCCACCACCTCATCCTCATCCTCCTGCTCCCCCTCCCCCTCCCCCTCTCACTCCCTTTCCTCTTCATTTGCCATGTCCTAGATTGTGACTCCCGACCACCCCCCGTCCCTCCTACTACCCCACCTCATATCGGGAAAACAAGAACTCTCGGATCCTGTGATGTCACGGGGGGTGGGTCACGTTGTTCTATAATTGGGGTGGGTACTTTTCCGTTAAAGGAGTAGGTGGGGTCAATGGAAGCAACGTCAGAGGTGTTTGACTTTTTTTTGGAAGCAAGGGGTGGAAGGACCCTACCAATAGTCAACGATGGGTAGGTATGGGATTCAGGTGGGGTACATTAGGATAAAGTGTCGATCAGGGCGGGTGGGGGTGGATGGACAGGAACATTTTACATGCTGAAACTCCGAGGGGTGGGGTAGTCTGAAATAAGTACCGGTGTTTTTGATGAATAATGCAGGGGTCCAGACATCCAAATCGGAGTCTGCCGGGTGGGTCCTTATGGGAAGGTGTGGTGGGTAAGTGGGGGTACTGGCGCCGCTGCAATGTCCTCGCCGGCTGTCAGGCAAGAAGCGGAGGAGAGGAGGAGAGAGGAGAGGAAGAGAGAGCAGAGCAGAGCAGAGCAGAGATAGAAGAGGAGGAGAGGAGGAGAGAAGGAGAGAAGAGGGGGAGGAGGAGACAAGGGAAGACAAGGGAAGACAACGAGGTAGGTGGAAGAGGCGTTGAGGTGGGAAAGTTGACGGGAAGCAGAGAAGGAGGAAGAGGAAGTGGGAAGAGAGGATGGAGATCCTATAGATTCCATGTGATGTTTGCTGCAGAACTGCTGCGATTGAGCTCTTGGACGCTCGTGCCGCCGAAGGGACGCTGGAGGGTTTCAAGTTCGATGCAGACATCTGCCGACAGGCCTTCAACTACTATGACAAGGTATGCGCCCTCAACCTGGTCCTCCTGACCTGCAGCTGACGTCCCTTCAAGGACAGGTCAGGCTTTCTGGACCTCCAGGAGCTGATGAAGCTCGCTGAAGTCCTCTGGGACACTTTCTACCCCAACGGTGAACCTGGAGGCTCGGCTGCCATGGCGAGCATTGATATCTTGTTATCCCTCCAGGCCCGAAGATCGATGAGCCGACTAAGATGGTATGTCTCGGGTTGTAGATGACAACGATCCCTCAATGACGTGATCGCGCGCAGTACATGGTGAAGGAGATCATGGCCGGCACCGATAACAACAAGGATTCGCGGATCAGCTTCCAGGAGTTCCTCCCGTGGTACAAGCGGATGGCAGAGAAGGTGAATTCTCTCTATCCCTTCGTTTATCCTCCTCATTTTCTCCTCTTCCTCCTCCTCCTCGTTTTCTCCTCCTCCTCCTCCTCCACCTCCACCTCTGCAACTGCGCTTGGACTTCTTCATTTGTTTTTGGTCCTCTGCTGAAAGATTGTTCAATGTGGTGATATCCCCGGCAACTCTATCCCTAGTTGTATCAGGAGCAGCCCTAAATGTTGGAACCAATTGAACCGTACGGACGGTGATAGACGGCATATTTGTCTTAACGTTTATTACAAATCTTTACCATAGCTTTCTTGCTTTGTGTCGATG